GTCAACCAGCAGAGCTTCCAGGACATCAAGCCCATGCGGGACCAGATCATCCGCGTGAAGCGGTACGAGCGCGTGCCCATGATCCTGGTGGGCAACAAGGTGGACCTGGAGGGCGAGCGCGAGGTTTCCTATGGCGAGGGCAAGGCCCTTGCCGAGGAGTGGAGCTGCCCCTTCATGGAGACGTCGGCCAAAAACAAAGCCTCGGTGGACGAGCTGTTCGCCGAGATCGTGCGACAGATGAACTACGCGGCTCAGCCCAACGGCGACGAGGGCTGCTGCTCGGCCTGTGTGATCCTCTGAGGCGCCCGCTGTGGTTGCGCGCCGGCCGCGCTCTGCGCACAAAAGCCAAACGCACCCAACTCTAAATGTGATTTCTCTTTTTGCTTTGAGATTGGAGACGACTTTGCATTGGCCGGGATGTCCAGGGAGCCTGGCAGATCTCCCAGGCGGACGGCATCCCCTGCCTCCCCTCCATGTCCGAGGAGGTGTCCGGTCCTGACCATCAGAGACCTGGTGGGAATGTGGTTGGCTCTTTGCAGCATGTACGTTTCCCGTTGATTTTGGTTAACGCATATTTCCCCGTTTAAATAGCCACTAGGACGCTGTACTGGCAGCTTGACACCCGGCAAGCAAAAGTTTCAGCCTGGAAAAAAAATGGGGCTGGCGTGGGGTGGGGTGGAGGAAGTGGAGAGGAAGAAGATGGAAGGGGGTTTCTTTCTCTCTCTTTCTCTCTGTCAACAACTGTTTTCTAGTTCCAAGTTTTAAAAACGTGGAAGGAAGTCGAAGAGAACCATATGAAGGAGCAGGAGAAGAGGAAGAAACTTCTGTTTTTTCCTTGTTTTCCAGGAGTTGCTGGAAATTAAGATCGGGTTCCTTTTCTGCCAGCTTGGAGGGGCAACCCCGTGACTGATTGCGATTCTGAGGATGTCTATGCAAAGTTGGATTCTTGTTACAGTGTATCCAATCTGAAGTATTGCACATCTGAACTGGGACTGTTAACACTGAGGCCAACACAGTGTGGGGTGCCAGAAAGTGTCTGCTGATATTTGTGGAAAAAAAAATCTATTTTGTTTACCTACTGTATCAAATGGGGAGTCTGGGGGAGAGTGGTAGTATTTTTTTTTTTAAATCAGCTGTGAAAAAAAATGTTACAGATCTGCACATTTTTGTGTGTACTATTGTGAGTGTGAGCGTGTGTGTTTTTTAAGTTTAGTTTTTTGTTGTTTTTTTCTTTTTTCATTTTTTTTTTTT